CGGTGTAGATAGGAAGCAGCTGGCATGGGGCCATGCAGCTGGACGACCCGGACATCCTAGTAACAGTCGGTGCAGTTGGCGCTGGCCGGAGGGGCTGTCACTGCCAGAGGGGGCTTCTGTGCTCCCAGCCTTCCTCCTCTCTTGAGTCCCCCACCCCACACACACCCCAGCGCTGAGGCGCCTGTGTGCTCAGGAGTCAGACTGGAAGGAGAAGCCGCAGACCAGAACGCCAGCAGGGGCCGTAGTGAACAGAGAGGGGTGGGGGCAGCTTTTGGAAATAAGTTTATGGCACTAACCTAAGTAATGCAAACTTCCCCTTTTCATGTTTACTTAATCCCCTCAAGGATGGGAGACGAGCACACAGCTGCACAGGAGGCGAGTTAAAGCGTGTTCTCACAAGAGGTGTCTCGGGTATAAGCTCCTCACCTTGGCCATTTCCTGTGGAGATGAGCCGGAGGACTGCCCGGGACACAGTTTGGAAAATTACACATCCTGGAAGCCCTTGGTTTTTCTGGAATAAATTGGATGGTGGTTCTCTGGAATTGTTTGTATGCAACAATCTAAACAAATGCTATCAGATCTTCGTGACTAACTCCTAGGAGTTCAGGGAACACGCACTGGGGAGCGTAATGATGGGATTATTGATGGGTGTGCTTGTGCAAGCTGAGGTTTTCATTCAATTTTCCTGTTAATGAAAAGAGAACCTTCACAACTATCCTAATTAAGCTGTGTGGTTCAGAAGCAAATGACTATCGAGCACTTTTAAAAATAAACATAAAAACAGGGATTTGATTAGCTACAAATAATTTTTTAAGCCTTTATGTTGTGCTGTGTATTTAACCATTTCCCTCACACTGTATTATGTGTCAAGGACTATATTAGGCTCTAGGGATACATACTATGGTGAACATCAAACACCATTTTCCTGCTTTTATGGAGTTCTTAATCCTCCAGGGCAAACATGCAGTTCCAGGAAATCCGGCTGGTGAGATTTCTAAGAGATGCAGAGTGCCGCAGCGTAAAGAAGGGATGGGACGTATTCTCTGGGAGAAGGACCCCGGCAGACCCCTGGATAAAATAAGGGAATGAGCAAACAGCCTAGTTGGTGTGTGGAGACAAGGGTAAGAAATAGGATTTTAAGGACAAGAAACCACCAAAGGCACAGGCCCCGAGGAAGGCAGGTGCTTAGCGTGGAGGGCAGTGAAACTTTGGCCCTGGGGACCGAAGCACAACAAATGCAAAGGACAAGAATAGGATGTGGGCCACATAGGATGTGGGCCAATAGGATGTGGCTTTGACTTAGTGTAATACAGAAAACTCCTGGAGGATCGTTGGTGGAGAGTGTCATGATCTCACCTGTCGGGTTTCTGGGACAAGTGGGCCACTATGGAAGAGGGAAGGCCAATCCAAAGGCTACTGCGATGATCTCCGTGGAAGGCGGTGACTGCAAGGATCCAGGCAGTGTCTGTGAAGGTGGCCAGAGGCGAACTCTGGGTGTGTGAGAAAGGGACTGGGAAAGAGGACCCCAATCCTGTGCATGTTGGTTTGCGATACCTATTAGACATCCAAGCAGAGAATCACAAAGTAGAGGTCTCCAGTGGACTGAGCCCCAGGGAAGAAGCTTAGTGGGATTGGCTGTGCATTTCCCAAGAACTTTGGAAAAATGGACTTAAAAGTTTGTTTTTAGGGGCCCAGCATGGTAGCCTAGTGGCTAAAGTCCTTGCCTTCCATGTGCTGGGTGGGCAGCAATTCTAATCCCGGCAGCCCACCCAGTTCCCTACTTGTGGCCTGAGAAAGCAGTCGAGGATGGCCCAAAGCCTTGGGGCCCTGCATCCGTGTGGGAGACCCAGAAGGGACTCCAGGCACCTGGCGTCAAATCGGCTCAGCTCCAGCCACTGTGGTCACTTGGGAGTGAATCATCGGACGGAAGTGCTTCCTCCCTGTCTCCCCTCCTCTCTGTATATCTGACTTTCCAAAAAAGAAATAATAATAAAATAAAATCTTTTTTCAAAAGTTTGTTTTTAGTGCAAAAAGTTCTTTTTTCATAGTACACATTTTCCATGAACTTTTAAAAGTGCCCCACCCACCACACACACATACCTTGTGTTTAAGACAGAGTTGGCTCTAGTTTGGATTGTAAATGAAGGGAAGGCGCAGAGAAGGGGAGCGCACTGGCACGAAGGAGAGGCATGGTGCTGTGTGCAGATCCAAGATCCTCATGCATTGTGTCTTATTCCATTATCTAAGAGCAAGGTGGGAGTCCAGGAGAAATTGTCTGCTTGGGAACCGATTGTAGCAGGAAATGTAGCAGGATGCCGCGCAGCACCGAAGGACTCACTTGAGATTCGTGGTTATGAATTTTAAGAGAAGGCCTAGGAACGTAGTAGAGTTGGACTTTTTCCACCTCTACGTGTTCAGCATCCTGAGTGGAGAAGGTAGACAGATGGTAGAATTTAGTAGGTTGGATTGTTCCAGGCAGTTACAGTGAGGAAAGAGAAGGCAAAGGAGAGCCATGATAGACCATGGAATTTAAATGGAATAGAATATCAAGTGAGGGCACAGGGCCTACAGGGAGCAGGATAAGCAGGGTTGTGAGCACCAGTGGGTGAAGTAAATTTCTGGGGTCTGGAGAGGGCTTTGCAGAGTTAGAAGTTGACGGTTACAGAGCAAGATGCTTACAATTGGATATGGACGTGGTAGAGATGTTAGTAATGACTAGATTAAGCGGTAATCCAGTCATGGGTAGCTATGATGAGGTGTTAAGGGCATTGGAAGGGAAAAGTTGCAGAAATTGAGTGGCTAAGGAATTGGAAGGATCCTCAAAGCCAGTAATGAAATGAGCAAGAATCGCAGCAGAGACTGTGGTACAGAGCTTGGAGGACAATGAGCCCAGTCACCTAGGTGTTTAAGCAAAGAGAGGAAACAACCTGGAGATCTTTAGTAGAACATTGAGGAATGGTAGTGGTGTATGGATTTAAACTGGAAGGATGATGAGTAGTCTGCAGCCACAGCGAGTGTCCCAATCCACATCTCAGCTGGTGGGAGCAAAATGGGAGAAAAAGCATCCTATGACAAAGGGGCCACAGAGGCCCAGCCAAGAGCCACCTTTCATTTAGGCTAAGGGAACGAAAGGATATTATGTGAGGTCCTAGAGCAGTGAAATTCCTGGGAACAGACAGTAGAATGCTGGTTGCTAGGGGCTGAGGCGGCATACGGAAAGAATTGGAAGGTGAACATAGAATATGAGTGCATCAATTTGGGACGATGGCACAAAGCTCTGGGGATGGATATTGGTGGTTATTGAGTAACAGTGTAAAGGTACTTAATGTCACCCAAGAGAAATGGCAATTTTTGTTAATGTATGTTGTACAAACAAAAGGGAATTGGGGTTGGCATTTGGCACAGGAGTTTCTAGAGTCAAGTCCCCACTGTGTTTCCCATCCTGCTTTCTGTTAATACATGGCATAGGAGGCAACATGATACAGTTCAAGTACTTGGGTCCTTAACCATACACATGGGAGACCCAGAAGAAAGGCTCCCAGCTGTGCCTGGTCCAGCCCAGCTGTGGAGGGTATTGGGAAAGTATGCCACCAGATGGATGGCTTCAGTATGCCTTGCTATATTCTCTCTCTCTCACAAGTAAATAATTCTTTGTTACTAGTTCTGTTTAAAGTTGACAAATAAAAGGAATAGAGGAGGGCTGGTGCTGTTGCATAGCAGTTACAGGCACCATCGCTAGTACCGGTATCCATATGCACTGAGTTTGAGTTGAATCCTGGCTGCTCTACTTCCACCCAGCTCCATGCTAATGTGGGTGTGGGAAAGCAGTGGAGGACGGCCTGAAGTCCCTGGACTCCCTGAACCTATGTGGGAGACCCAGAAGAAGCTTCTGGCTTCTGACTCCTGGCTTTAGACCAACCCAACTCTAGCTGTTGTGGCCATTTGGGAAATGAACCAGAAGCATGTCTCTCCTTCTCTTTCAAGAAAATTAATAAATCTCAACAACAACAACAAACAGCAAATAAAAGGGCTAGAGATGAGAATGGGGAAGTAATGGGACCTTGAATTCAGGGTCACAGTACAAGGGGAGTTGAGCAGCAAGTAGGGTGAACAGGGATGTGGCACAGAGGGACTTGTCTCCGTGACCCCAGGCCAGTTGCACTGGGCAGGCTCTGGGCGCTGGGCTGAAGGACAGAGGGATTCCATGTTCCTCTGTGTCTTTGTTACCCTGGGGTCTGGCACAGTGCCTGGTGCGTACAAGCTGTGAATAGCTGTTAAGTTAAAAAAATCCTATCCCAGGAAAGAAAACAGCAAGTGAGAATTTAATGGTCTTGCTGAAAATCCAAATAAATTTCCCTCAAAAGTGATGAAGAATGAAAAGAAGCTAAAGTTTGGTCTCTGGAGAAGAAAGGATTTTTGGCACAAGTACAAAAGAACTTATTGCAAAATTCAAGTTTTTAGACTTGGAAAAAAAAAGCCATAAACAGAGGGCTACAGTTATATAAAAGGTTATTGAGTTGAAATATTTCTCACCTTATAAAAACAAGTTCCTGATGAATTTGTGAGTTGCAAGGAGATAATCATTCCTATGTTAAGATTATTAACTTTAAAAAGTATTAAAATTCGGTCATCACTATAAGTTTAAAATTTGAAACTATAATGCTGTAAAGATTTGTCTTCTAGCTTACAGACACACAGTTATAGGGATCAGCTCATTTCATTTTCAATACTTCCAGTATAAAGAACGTACTATGTATCTTCAAAAATTTTTGTTACTAGTTATCTTTTAAAAAAAAAACTGTACTTTTATATTGAATGTAAATTTTTTTGTTGAAGCCCTAAACATTTGAGATGGCGTACCACCCATGGTTGCTGCCTGACCTAGGTTTTCTCTGGACACATCCATAAAAGTGCTAGCTGGGGGGTCTTGCATTGTGAACCGTATTGCGCAGCTACCAGATCATTGTCATGCCCCGTTCTTCTTGTTGTTGTCGTTTTAGTGACAGCTATATTGTGCGTGTCAAGGCTGTGGTTATGACCAGAGATGACTCCAGCGGGGGATGGTTCCCACAGGAAGGAGGCGGGATCAGTCGCGTCGGGGTGTGTAAAGTCATGCACCCCGAAGGCAGTGGACGAAGCGGCTTTCTCATCCATGGTGAACGACAGAAAGACAAGCTGGTAATGGTAGACACAGCGCGCGTGAGCATTGCATCAGCGATGACTGACTTGCCTATGTTAGATTGCAGCTCTCTCCTACTGTGTTTTCTTTTGTCCCCCCTACCACCCCCACCTTCCTTCCCTTACTTCAAACTCTTGTTTAAACTTAAAAAATTGGAACCCAGGAGCTAGCGCCAAATATGCAAAACATAGCCCTCCTTTTCCAGGAAAACTCAAATGCTTATGAGTATTCCATGACTGTGTTATCTCTCATTGACCAAAGTGTCCGTCATTGAAGGTATTCACAGCTGAACTGTACTCTTTATTATGAATCACATTTTTTGAATCGCAAAGTAGGGTTTATTCAAGGAGCATACCATTGAGATTTGGATCATGAATGGTAAAATCCAAAGGCAAACTGTCCTCTGACATTTGGCTATTTATTAATAAATGTTTATCTGGAAGACACCCGTAGCTGTTGTCTCATAAGATAATGAGAAAAAAATGTTCTGGAAAAAGGAAGTAATGGAAAGTAGTGCTGTTTGTCATTCTAGAAATAATTACACATTTTTATGAGTACATTGTTTGGGATGTAATCATGATCTCCAAGGGTAGAAGGGCTGGTCGTCTATAACCTACAATCACAGCAAGGGCTGGGCTTGCCCGGTTCTTTGTCATGAGGGAATCTGTGATACAAGAAAGAAAATGTTCATGTCCAAAGCTGTTTGAAATTAGTGGCCACAAATGTGGTCGAGTATTATCCCATCTTTATTAGATCACTGAGTGTGCGTTCAGAAGCCACCAGATGGATCAGAACATGCAGGATTGCACAGGAGCTCACAGATATTGCAAAAGGGCAGAAGATGTTGGTGTCGCCTCTGAGACCCACAGTGTGTCGCATGTACACTTGTAGTCACAATCATTCATTGTAGTTTAAAAAGCTACAAAATAGCTAAGTACAACTTGTGAGTGATACATAAGAATTAGCAGAAATGCTGATTCATACTTGAGTCATTTCTGGAAATTTAGAGGGAGAAAATAGCTAATTTTAATGTCTGTGCATGAAATTCCCATTCATAGTCAAACAGTAAAGACATTCTCATTTATAACATTTTTGTAATAAAGACCTTGCAGCCACATTACCGATACAAAGTAAAGTAACTACCTGTTTCTCTAGCATTTGCCATGTACTAACTGTATGTCATTCCTGCTGTACTTATAGTAACCTTCAGAATTATAATTGAAATTAAGATTCAGAAAGATGCTTTGGTCCTGGTGACTCATTTTGGGGGCCTGGAACCAATATTTGACACTGTCTGAACCCAAATGTGTGGCAGGATCACACATGCACAAGTCAGCTTTAGCCCTCGGATGAGGGATTTTTTTCTTGCACCTGTTTTCATTCTTGAATTGATATGATCAGAGCTCACTAGTACTTCAGGGACATCTCTGTCTACCCGGCTGCATCTTTCCATTCGTCACTTGTTTCTCTCTCTCTCTCTCTCTGTGTCTTTCTCTCTCTGGCTCATAAGCACACACTCTGTCATACACACACCTTTGGCAATAGGATGAGTCCTCTTTGGCCTCCTAAATGTAATACTTCTGCCCATGGAAGGGAATGAGCTTGTAGGGAGGTCTTACATAGGAGTCAGGATGTTGAGGGAAGACACTCTTCCTCTATCTACCTCACCTCCCCCCCAAAAAAAATGAAAAGACCGATTTTTAGGAAATACTGAGTGACAGGGGTCGAAGCACTCAGTATTCCAGTGTGGGTTTCAAGAACCCTCTCTGACAGCACAGAGTTGCCTGTGTTTTTTCTGGTATAGCTTAGGGATTCGGCACCTTGTTGGGACTGTTATGTTTTCATTGTATGTGAGGCCTGTGAGCTGCCATGGTTTGTGTGGACTGCACTCACAAGTAGGCATTCAGGTAATTTTTGATTACGTGGGGGCTATCAAGCTAGCCTGGGAAATCATGTGTGACTCAAAAGGTTCTGAGTTGACTTTGACATTTGGTGGATTTTAGGAGCTTACTCCTGAAATCCTGCGAGGAATCACCGTAGGAAGATTAAGCACAGCACCTAGCAGGTTCACCTCCAGCAGTCGGGTCATTTGGCCCCTGCCTGCCTGTAGAACAGTGAGATTTCTCACATCACACTGGGTGGGACTTGGAGATTATAAGACTCTTTTTGAAGGACAGTTTGGCAGGATTTTCTGTTTAAATGTCTGTACCTTTTTTTTTAAAAAAGATTTATTTTTATTATTTTTTCATTGGAAAGGCGGATATACAGAGAGGAGAGACAGAGAGGAAGATCTTCCGTCCAATGATTCACTCCCCAAGTGAGCGCAACCGTCGATGCTATGCCAATCTGAAGCCAGGAGCCTCTTCCGGGTCTCCCATGCGGGTGCAGGGTTCCCAGTCTTTGGGCTGTCCTCGACTGCTTTCCCAGGCCACAGGCAGGGAGCTGAAGGGAAGCGGGGCTGCCGGGATTAGAACCGGCACCCATATGGGATCCCGGGCATGCAAGGCAAGGACCTTAACCACTTGCGCCACCGCGCCGGGCCCTAAATGTCTGTACCTTTAACTTAACAGTTCATATCCAGAAACACTGACCTGTGAAATTCATTTATATCAGAGGTTGTTTATAAAATTCATGGGAAAAATGTATAACTAAATAACATTGTAACGTTGGATTATTTGAGAATTTGTTTATTTGAAAGGCAAAGTGATAGAAAAAGAGGAGGAAATGGGAGCATGCATCTACTGGTTCACTCCCCATCTACCTGCAACAGCTCAGGATGGGCCAGACCAAAGTTAGGTGGCTGGAGCTCCATCAGAATCTTCTCACATTGGTGGCAGGGATGTAAGCACTTGAGGCCTCATCTGCTGCCCCTGAGGCGCGTTAGCAGGAAGCCGCATCAGAAGCAGAGGTGTGGGGACTTGAACTAGGTTCTCTGGCATGGGATGCCTTCCCCTCAAAAATTTTTGCACCAAAATTAACTTGTCTTCTAATTCCATTTCTATGAGCTTTGTGAAGCACCTCTGTTCAGAAAGATTTATGGATAGCAGCAGTTCTTAAATACTTCCTGTTCAGGATCCCCTTATATACTCTTAAAAACGTATTAATATTTACTACATTAGAAATTAAAGGGGAGTGAAAACAGCACTGTTAATATAAATGACAGTTTAATGGAAATAGACATATGACTTTTTCAAAACCAAAATAGTTTATGAGAAGAATTGTTTTGGCTTCTCGCTTTTGGAAATTATTTAAATGTTTTATTTCATAGCAAACAGCTGGATTCTAACATCTAATAGATGTGGAAAATGTACTTGAGCTTTTAATGTTATTCTGGTTAATGAGGAAAAGCCAGGTATAATCTCATAAATAATTGAAAGAGGGAGAAATATTGATAGCTTTTCAAATCATTATTATAATTCTTTGATCCTACAACAGAACTGAACCTATAGTAGTTTCTTAAGTGTTGAGTCTGAAGCCAGACCGTGAACTCTTCATACTCTGTTACATTAAAATTTCCTGGTTCATCTTTCACTTTGAGTAGAGCTTTCACTCATGACTGATTTTATAACATTATGTATTAGTCATCTGAAAAATAATGGTTTACCAAGTTAAGCACGTCTTAGAAATGTTGACACATTTCATTCTACAATGTCAAAAACTCACATTTCTTCTTCTTCTTTCTTTTTTTTCCTTAAGGTTATTTATTTGAAAGGCAGAGTTACAAAAAGAGAGGAAGAGAGTTCTTGCATGCATTGGTTCATTCCCCAGTGCCTGCAACAGGCAGAGCCAGACCAATCCAAAACCAGGAGCCTGGAACTTCCTCTGGGTCTCCCACACGGGGGCAGAGGCCCATTGGCTTGGGCCACGTTTTGCTGCTTTCCCAGGCACATTAGCAGATTAGCAGGGAGCTGCATTGAAGTGGTATAACTGAGTCTCAAATTGGTGCCCATAGAGAATGCCAGCATTGCAGAAAGTGGCTTAACCTGCTCGTTCATCCCACAGCATTAACCCCAAAAGTCACATTTTTTTAAATTATCACCTCTGATCTCATTAGGCAAGTCTGTAAGTATGGGGAAGCTGTCCACAATTCTCATTTTCCTTTGAAAATTTTATTTTTATTGTTGCCAAACAATACTTCACCCGTTTTCCTTGAAATGACACGTTCACTTTGTTCATTGATAAATCTCTGCCAGGAGCCTAGCCCAGTGGCTCAAAGGCTAAATCTTCGCCTTCCACATGCTAGAGTCCCATATGGGCGCTGGTTTGTGTCCCAGTTACTCCACTCCCCATCCAGCTCCCTGCTTGTAGTCTGAGAAAGCAGCAGAGGACAGCTTCCGGACCCTGCACCTGAGTGGGAGACCTGGAGGAGGCTCGTGCCCCTCGCTTAATTTAGGTGACAAAACTTTTTAAAGACAATGTACCTTTGAAATAATTTTAAAGTTGGAAAATGTGAAGCAAAGCCCAATTTTCGTTCTACCCTAAAAATAAACTAATAGTCTTTGTTTTCACAAAACGTTTATTTTGAGACTTTGAATTGAGACTATTAAATTCTAAAATAGATAACATTTGTTAGTTAAAGCCTTGGATATTTGGATTTCCCCAATTTGGAATGGGGCTGGGCTAACATTTAATCATTGCACTATACTTAGGGGAAAATGCCCAGAATAAACAATTTAATCATAAATAGAATTGTGTGAGGGGGCTGTTGTCCTATTTCAATACAGTGTAATGAAGTTAGCTACTTGGTAGTGCTATTTCATGTACCAATTTGAATAGTGCCGTCATTTATTAAGTTAGGGAACATTTATTAGGCAGCATTTAACTTCTTTTTACTTTAATATATTCTTGAAATTGCCATCTAAAGATACTCTCTAATTTAAATTTATACTAACTTGGGGATGGTGCAGTAGGCTAATCCTCCTCCCTATGGCACTGACATCCCATATAAATGCCAGTTGGAGATCCGGCTCCCTGCTTGTGGCCTGGGAAAGCAGTGGAGGATGGTCCAAGTCCATGGGTCCCTGCACCCATGTGGGAGACCTGGAAGAAACTCCTGAGTTCATTTGGCTCAACCCCAACCATAGTGGCCATTTATGGGGCAAATCAATGGATGGAAGACCTTCCTTCCCTAGCCTTCCTCTCTTTAAAAGTTGCCTTTCCAACTTAAAGGAGTCATTTTCTTTTAAAATTTATTAATTTGTATTGGAAAGGCAGATGTATAGAGAGAAGGAAGAGCTATAGAGAGAAAGATATTCCATCCAGTAGTTTACTCCTCAAGTGACTGTAGTTGGTGGAACTGAGCCTATCCAAAGCCAGGAGCAGGGCACCAAGGCTTTGGACCATCCTCAGCTGCTTTCCCAGGCCACAAGCAGGGAGCTGGATGTGAAGTAGAACAGCCAGGATATGTACCGGCACCCATGTCAGATCCTGTCGTATGCAAGGCGCCAATTTAGCTACTGGGCCATCTCACCAGGTCTGATAAACTTTCAAAAGAAATTAAAAAATTTTTTAAAGTCATGCTAATTTAGGTAGGTCTTTATTCTTAACCTTTACTGAGTCTAAATCAACAAGAGACCATTGCTTTTTGTTTGTTTGTTTAAGGTTTATTTATTTTTATTGCAAAGTCAAATATACAGAGAGGAAGATCTTCCATCCGATGATTCACTCCCCAAGTGACCGAAACAGCCAGAGTTGAGCCAGTCCAAAGGCAGGAGTCCAGAGCCTCTTCCAGGTTTCCCATGCAGGTGCAGGGTCCCAAGGCTTCAGGCTGCTTTCCCAGGTCACAAACAGGGAGCTGGATGGAAAGCAGGGCTGCCGGGATTAGAACCTGCACCCATATGTGATCCTGGTGCGTTGAAGGCGAGGACTTTAGCCGCTAGGCCATCATGCCGGACCCAACAAGAAACCATTATATTAAATGCGGAACTTTGCTGAAGTATGAGCAAAGCTATGAGAACTTAGCAGAATCAGAGCAGTGTTTAGCAGCATCCCATGTCAAGGTGCCTGAAATTTGTCTTTAAAATTTTTTTTTTATTGCAAAATCAAATATACAGAGAGGAGGAGAGACAAAGAGGAAGATCTTCTGTCCACTCATTCCACTCCCCAAGTGACAGCAACAGCCAGAGTTGAGCCAATCTGAAGCCAGGAGCCAGGACTCTTCCAGGTCTCCCACACGGGTGCAGGGTCCTAAGGCTTTGGGCTGTCCTCGACTGCTTTCCCAGGCCACAAGCAGGGAGCTGGATAGGAAGTGCAGCTGCCAGGATGCGAACTGGCACCCATATGGGATCCTGGAATGTTCAAGGCAAGGACTTTAGCTGCTGAGCCCAAGGTGCCTGGATTTGATTTCCAGCTCTAGTTCCCAATTCTAGCTGCTTGCCAGTGCAGAAAATAATTAGGTTCCTGTCATCATATAGGGAAACCAGGATTAAATTATCAGCCCAGTTTTGAGAGATGAATTAGTGGATGGGAGCTTTCTGTCTCTACTTCATTGTCTATCTCTTTGATTGAAATAATTTAAACTCATAAGGTCCCTGATTTTCAATTCTATGAATATTACAGTGTCATGGTACTGCCATCACAGTTAACGTAAGGGTATACTTACTACTCACTGTCTCAATAGCTATCCTATTTACAGAATGATGGGACATAGTGATATCTTTGGTAATTAGCAAAATCATGAAGCTGTATGAATATTTACAGTATAGTTTGCTGCTACTGTTACAATTACAATTCTGCTTTTATTCTGTGGTATTGAATGAACCCTGATATTTTACCAACAGTGGCACTGTGCTAGTCACAGAGAGAGTTATGGTATATACTCCCTGAATCTTCATAGTCTAGTTAGAGAGATGAGACTAATGGCATGAAACTTTGAATAGAGAATAATAGGAAAGCAGGGACTAAGTTCGAAAGGTGACAAGAAGGACAGCTGAGCCATACAAGACTAGTATCTGATGGTGAAATGAGTGTTACTCCCTAATAATATCATGAATTCAGGGCATGTTCATACTCAAGAAGATCAAAGATCCTGGTCAAAAGAGTGTTTAAAAGGAGTGTTCATCTAGAGGTACAACACAGTAGCCTAAAAAGCTTATTTTGAAACTGGATTGTTAGAAATTAAGATGGCTCTAGCACTCCAATATAAGTTAATGGTTGCCCAGATCAGATCAGGGTGATTGCACATGAAATGAAGTTGACAGGAAAGATGTTGAAGGAAAAATGGAATGGACTTGGTGATGAATCATGTAGGGGCCAGGAAGCACAGAGGAGGGCAAGATGTCTTCAAGATTTCAAGCCAGCGGACGTGGACATGGTGGGGTTCGCATGGCTAGCTACGGGGAAGATAGAGAAAACCAGTGGCAGGAGATTTCCAGTTATTTGAATTGGAGATCCCACAGAGGACAGACTGAGAGCCATCGGTTTTAGGAAGGCAGTAACACAGGAACAGGCAAAGACAAACCCTGGGACTCGGCCCAGTACTCCCAGTCAGGGGCAGGAGGAGGAAGGAGTGAGATGAAGAGGAGGATCCCGAGGGGGGACAGCCCCACTGTAGGGCTCCCCAGAGCCAAGGGCAAAGTTCCACGATGGACGGTTCCCTCCCAGATGAGAGGGCAGCAAACATGGCTGGGGGTGGTGCTGTTAGGTGCTATCTGTGAGGGCCCATTAGACTCCTGTACGCAGACACCTTTGTGGCTGCTCCACAAGTAACCAACCTATGTGCTTCAATCCTGCAGGTGGTACTGGAATGCTATGTAAGAAAGGACTTGGTCTACACCAAAGCCAACCCAACGTTTCATCATTGGAAAGTCGATAATAGGAAATTTGGACTCACTTTCCAGAGCCCTGCTGATGCGCGAGCTTTTGACAGGGGAGTGAGGAAAGCAATCGAAGACCTTATAGAAGGTACTGGACTCTTACTGGGGCTGTGACAGCATCCCAGATTCTTTCACATCCCAGCTGGCTGCCAGCTTATGCTCATGGCTTACTTGAAGGCAGGGGTTTGGGGATCAGGTCAGTAGGTGCCAAAACTTGCAAAATATCTGAGGTCATTAGAGCAGCAAAATGGGGGAATGGAGCTGGGGTTTATGGTAGATTCTTGTTTTTTTTTTTAAAGAAAGAGAAGATTAGGGGCTCCCTCGCAAATGAAGTTTTGACCAATTTTACTTTGTTCTGTCTGTCGACAGCTGTTAAAAGATCTTGTCTTTTAGAAAGCTGTCTAGTCTGCCATGGCTCAGAAGCAGAGAAGGAATTCAGGCAAGCCCAGGATGTTCCAACACACACACACACACACACACACACACACACACACACACACACACACTCACGCATGCACGCCTGCTGCCCTCAGCTTTTCAGCACATGGCCTGCCACTGCCCAGGAAAGGGGCTATGACTCCTGCAGCTCCAGCTGGTGGTCAGTTTTCGTGGGAAGTGTGACTGGAGTCCATAGGTACAAGCCCGCAGTGTCTTCACTTCATACTCAGTTGTCAGATCAAAAGGTTAAAGATGGCGTAGCCAGAGCCAGATGGAGAAAAATTATTGTCATGACACGATAATATCATGACACGTTAATACCAAATTCAGAATTTGGATTTTAAGAAGTCATTTTCTTCATTTGTGAGAAGAGAGAAAAATAGGCCTTAAAGGAATTAAAAAAAAAAGGGGGGTCATGTAACAGCCATCAAAAGTAAGACCAGTCTAGCTGGAATGTGAATATTTATAGCCATGAGATGGCCAAAAAGACCTCAGTGGCAAGTTCTGGTTTTTTTTTTTTTAATGATTTATTTATATTTATCAGAAAAGCAGATTCACAGAAAGATCTTCCATCTGCTGTTTCACTCCCCAAGTGGCCACGACAACTGGAGCTGAGCCAATCTGAGGCCAAGAGCTTGGAGCCTTTTCTAGGTCTCCCATGAGGGTTCAGGGTCCCAAGGCTTTTTGGGCTGTCCTCGACTGTTTTTCCAGGCCATAAGTAGGGAGCTAGATGGCAAATGGAGCAGCCAGGGCATGAACTAACGCCCATATGGGATCCTGGTGCACGCAAGGCGAAGTTTAGCCACTGAACCATCGCATTAGACCCTGAAATATAGTTTTTAAACATAGCTTTTCAATGTTTAGATAAAATCACTCCCGTGTTGCTGATAAAAATTTGCTGTTCATGTACTTAATCACCAAAGTCATACATAAAATTTGATGGTCCTACTTTTGATGATTTCCTCTGTAAACAGTTGTCTAACTTCTTTCTCAAGCTTGCTTGAACATTGATTGACTAGAATAATTGAGAAAGTAGAGGAAACCCTGCACATTAATAGGCTTGCAGAGAGACTTGTGGGATTATTAAAGACTCATGCATTCAACTTGAAGGCCAGAGCACAGAAAGAGAGAGGGAAAGAACAAAGAGACATCTTTCGTCCACTGACTCACCCCTGAAATGGCTGCAGTGGCTGGAGCTGAGCCTGTCTGAAGCTGGGAGCCAGGAGCTTCCTCCTGGTCCCCCAGGTGGTGCAGGAGCCCAAAATGTACATTTGAAAACACCTGGCCACAAGAAAGAGAAAGAAGAGGGAATGTATTTTACTTTTCACATCTCCTTCACTCATGTAAGCTTAAATATGGCTTTGTTTTGAAGAGTTAGGGTGATTGACACATTAGGGCATGCTCATAGGGAGGAAAGCAAGCGATTTGCAGTTCATTCCAGGATGAAGTTTGCTGGATTTTCCAACAAGGAAAGTTTACTGATGCTCTGGTGATGCGAGAGAATGTCCCTTTCATAATTATCCTTGTACAAAGTCACTCCTGCACTCTAGCGTTTAGAGCATGGCATCCAAATTCAGAATGGGGTTGATTGCACAGCTAATTCCTCAGAACTCGATGCTGGCCCCTGGGAAGCCTCCAGCTGGGAGGGAATCCAGTCACACAGGGACACATTGGCAGCTCTAACGTGGGCCTTCCCAGCTCGGTGCTTTCTCTGTGGAGGCGGGGCATGATACATGCCCCTCGAAGGAGGGCACCAGCTCACGCTTCTCCTTCCCTGTGGTGTCTCCTGTGTGCCTCTTCCCCGCTGGCCAGTGTCATAGCTGGTGGCACTGACAGAGAACACAGCAGCAGGCTGAGGCAGTTTAAGGAGCACCCTGGCAAGTGCCATTCAAGAAAGTTAAGCTAACAGCACTGCCTTCCCAAATCACTTCTTTCTGCTGGTGATGCACATGGGAGAGGAATGGAATGTGGTTTTATTAAAACACATTTTTAAATAACGGGATTTGACTTAACCCCTTTGGAAACACTTTTTATTGCATCTTTGTCTTCTTAGGCTCCACGACTTCATCTTCCACCATCCATAACGAAGCCGAGCTTGGTGACGATGATGTTTTTACAGTAAGTTGCTTTTGTGCTTTTCTTTCCAGATGGATTCATAAGTAACCAAAGACAGGCTGCGTTGAAGAGCAGGAGAGTTTGTACCTGGCACTTGCTGCTGCTGCTGCTGTTTGTCATCAGTTAGGTCTTTGTCTTGTCACAGTTTTTCTTTTCTTATGTTATAAACATTTATTTGAAAGAGTTAGAGACAGAAACAGGTATCGTCCATTTACTGACTCACTCCCTAAATAGCTACAGTGGTGAGAGCTGGGCTGGGCTGGGCTGGGCTGGGCGAGGCAGAAGCCAGGAACTTCATCAAGGTCACCCCCTGGGTGCATAGGCCCAAGTCCTTGGGCCATCTTTCACTGCCTTCCCAGGCACATAAGCAGGAGCTAGGTGAGAAGCGGAACAGCCAGGACTCAAACTGGCACTCAAATGGGATGCCAGCGTTGCAGGTGGCAGTTAACTGGCTGTCCCACAACACTGGCCCTTTGTTTTTGCTGTGCTGTGTTTGCTCGTCTTTGTCACATTGCAGTGGTGATGTCCACCACGCAGCACGACGATGTCCTGGACCCGTCAAACGTTCTGTCAGAATCTTCTGTTGGGGCGTGTACTGCGGCCAGCTGTCGGGACACCCACCTGCGCCACGGGCCTCCCTGGGTTTGCAGCTTGGCTATGCTTAGAATCCAGGCCCTACTAACACAGAGTCTGCAAGGAGGCAATGATGACTCAGTGTAGTTGGCTCCCTGGCTGCCAGCTCTGGACCCCTGGCTGCTGTAGAGATTTGGACAGTGCAACATTGGATAGGCATTCTCTCTGTCTCTCTCAACCTCTCAAATAAATAAATCAATAATCCACTGTTAAATTTAGGGTGGCCAGCTGCCCCGTTTGCTGGGGACTGTCCCAGTTTTAACACCACAGTCCCTAATCCTGAGAAACATCTCAATCCCAGAACCACCGGGACAGTTGGTCACCCTTCTTGGATTCTCCTGTTAACACACATCCTGGCATTGGAATGGGGAAAGCCTGAGGTGTGCCCTCCCTGGTGAGTAATTTAACATCTGATAAGAAAGGCCTGAAGCCCAGTTGAGGTTAGGCCCAAGTGTGCTGGGCCCGGAGAGGGCTTAGATGTTTTGACACAGGCTAAGTTAATGGGATGGAACGGGCGACAAAATGATTTCTCGGTTTGCTTCTCCATTTAAATCCTGTGCTTCTAGAAGTTAATTAACAAATAGCTCATTGCCTGCCTGCTGTGTGCTCACAGCAGCAAGTGTCGCCAGGCAGCATTTTCCAGAGCAGGGCTGTGATTCACAGTCAGAGCCATTGTGCTCTATGACCCAAGACACTCGCAAATCAAGATACCCGAAACCAAAAACGCTCTGTGTTCTGAGATCTTTTTTCCATTTCTTTTTTTTTTTTTAAGATTTATTTTTATTATTATTTTTTTTATTGGAAAGGCAAATATACAGAGAGGAGAGACAGAGAGGAAGATCTTCCGTCTGATGATTCACTCCCCAAGTGAGTGCAACGGCCGATGCTATGCCGATCTGAAGCCAGGAGCCTCTTCCGGGTCTCCCACGCGGGTGCAGGGTCCCAAAGCTTTGGGCCGTCCTCGACTGCCTTCCCGGGCCACAGGCAGGGAGCTGGAAGGGAAGCGGGGCTGCTGGGATAGAACCGGCGCCCATATGGGATCCCGGGCGTGCAAGGCGAGGAGCTTAACCACTTGCGCCACCGCGCTGGGCCCTTTTCCATTTCTTTAAAATACTTTTTAAATTTAATTTGAAAGGCAGAGTCACATGGTAGTGGGGAAAGAGGCAGAAGTCTTCCATTTGCTGGTTCCCTTTATTATGGCCAGTGCTGGGCCAGAACAAAACCAGGAGATAGGACTTTTGTTTGGGTGCAGGTGCCCAAGCACTAGGACCACCATGTGCTTTTCCAGGCTCGTCAGCAGGGAGATGGATCAGAAGTGGAGCACTAAGAAATGGCCACACATCACCAGCCACTCTGTTTTATTTTTTATCAAAAAACTTTCCACACACAGGAAAATTCAGTGACTGCCTGGATACCTAACAAATGCAACAGTCACATTTTGCACTTTGCTTCACTTCTGCACATGTGGTTACTTACACACTCGGAAGTCTGCATATACACACATACTCTTTCTCAACTGTCTGTAAGTTCATCTCCTGTAATACTTTATGCATATATCCTAAAAAGGAGGCGCTCACAGAGGGATCTGGGAGCAGTGGAACTGCTCAGCAGTACTGAAGTGATGAGTGCACGTCATTGTACTTTCGTGCATGAGCTCTGAGGGGTCGGGAGCCCGTGGGTAGTGATGACGTATCTGTGCGGCTCCATTGGTTATAATCAGCTTGGGGATGGATCGGTGGGATGTTTGAATACCTCCCACTCTATAGAAAATAAAACTTAATAAAACTTTTGCTTTTTTTTTTTTTTAAGATGTATTTATTTGTTGGAAAGTCAGATATACAGAGAGGAGGAGAGACAGAGAGGAAGATCTTCCGTCTGATGATCTACTCCCCAAGTGAGCTCAACTGCCGATGCGATGCTGATCCGAAGCCAGGATCCAGGAACTTCTTCCGGGTATCCCACAGGGGTGCAGGGTCCCAAAGCTTTGGGCCGTCCTTGACTGCTTTCCCAGGCCACAAGCAGGGAGCTGGATGGGAAGTGGCGCTGCCGGGATTAGAACTGGCGCCCATATGGGATCCCTGCACGTTCAAGGTGAGGACTTTAGCCGCTAGGCCACGCCGCCAGGCCCAATAAAACTTTTCTTAAAAAAATAATAAGGCTTTCTATGCTGCCATAATACTGTTAACCTTCCCTAAGAAAATTAATAATGGACCAGCAAGTTAAGCCTCCCCCTGTGGTGCCAGCATCCCACATGGACAGTAGTTCAAGTCTTGGCTGCTCCACTTCCAATCCAGATCCTTTGGTGTCTGCACCCACACAGGAGACTGGGATGGAGCAAGATCTCGCTTGCTTTCTCTCCCTCTCTAACTCTGCCTTTGAGTGAGATTAAATAAATTTCATATATAAAATTAATAGAAATTTCATACTGTTCTGTCGTAGTTCCATAGTTCTCTTCATGGTGTATTTTATGAGCTAGTTTCTATTTCCTGTTTGAAAAGACTAGTTGTCATCCACTGCTTACCTTGAGCAGTCGTGCAGAGACATGGCTTGAGCCCTTGAGGATGCGCTAAGTGATTTGCAGAGATGAGCTTTGATGCACTAGAGGCTTCAGGAGCAGGCCAGACCCGGCTAAGCGCTCTGCACCACGCGGGATAGGGAAGGAATATGAAGTCAGTTTGGGCCTCCCCAAGAGGGGAGGCTTGAGCAGACCCTAGGGCAGCTGAAGAATGGGGAGCCCCTGGAGTGAGGGCAGATGTAAAGGTGTTGGGAGGGATAAACCGCCTGCACTCTGCACCTCCCATCCTGTAGGCAGAGCAGGGTACAAGAGTTTGAGGAGCTCATCTGCTCATTTGTCTTTCCTTGGAGCGGCTGTTGTGCTGGGGCTCGGAACAGGCTCCCCACGCACAGGCGCGGGCTCAGAGCAGAGCCTCTCGGCAGTTGGCATGTTGCTTACATCTGTTCTTCTGTCACGTTTTGGGAGACAAACAGCAGGCAGGTCAAAAGGTGGCTTCCTGTGCTGCCCCCTGCAGCTGCTTCCCAGCTACCTGCCAGGAATGATTTACAGGACCCGGGAAAGGGCTGAGACAGGGGGCTGACCGAGGCTGAATCCCCCCCGGTTCTGTCTTCACAGCCAACAGGGCATCTACAGGCTCCTCTGGCTGCCCGGGAGAAGGTGTAGAAACAGCCCTCGGCTTCCAGATGGTCTGAGACTTCCTGGAAGAAACGCTGCACAAAATGAATTGCATTCCTCCAAGGCACTGCCGTGCACAATCCGTTGCCGTCCTGTGCTCCCTTTGTGTACAAACAATAGCACTTCCCTTCCCCAAGAACAGCCTGGTCATCAGGCCATCAAGCAGGAGATGCGTAGCCCACGGACCCTGTGGAAAAGCGAGGGGGAGACGTCAAGTGCTGAGGAAGTGACTGCGGTAACTTGTGGCAGCTATGACTTCTCCCATCCTGTGGTGTCTGAAAGCTTCTGCCACGTTGGTAGGACAGATGTTGAGAACCGAAAGCTCACTTAGCATAGAAGAGGTGTGAGTAGCAGCAGGCCCTTGTGACAACTCTCGGTGAGCCAGAATTCTATCCCTAAGGAGCTTGGCGTGGCTAAGTGAAAGCTTTGTGGTTGTAGCCAGTGTGGCCAGGAGCGCATGTGTTCAGTTTGTCCTGCAGGTTGCTCCCTGTTTGAGCAGGTTCCTTGGGGCTAAGAGGATGACAGGATGTTGTGGTCAGTAACTGGATGCACAAGATAATGTACTCACTGGGGAATTAAGTCAGGAGGAAGGGGCACGCCCAACGCCCCGGAGTACTCACACTTGAATCACTCACCCATGGGGTCATTCCCGAGTACTCGGACAAGAGATGATCATGATGACGACAATGGTGCCGCCACCCTGTGGCATTCCTGGCAGTGTTCCACCTGGATACCTATCCTATGCCAGGTGCCACTCCGCAGCCTTCCTTCCCACTTCCCAGACCCAGCCCAGGCCACTGCCAGAAGCTCCTGGGTCAGAAGCTGCTCCAGCTTTCTGATTTTAGCTCTGTTTGTTCCTCTTATGTTTCCTCCCTTCCCCATTTAAAGTTGTTCTCTTTCTCCTTTAGCCTAAAGTAGTTCAGATGCTTACGTTCTATATCAGGGCGCCTAGTTCAGAACTCAGCGCTGGCCCTGGCATGCAGCTAAGGCAGATCCCAGGAGGCAGGAGTAATGGTTGCCACACGTGGGCCCCTTCCCCACGCACAGAAAAGCCAAATTGAGCTCCTGGCTCCTGGCTTCAGTACCAGCCTTTGTGGGCATTTGGAGAATGAATCAGCAGATGGGAACTAGCACATTCTTTTTCTCATTCATTCTCTCTCAAATGATTAACAAAATAAAG